CTGAGAGTCTCGTGTTTCCTCCTATCGTCGTCCTCGTCGTTGCCGGTCTTATTCGCTTCCACAGTTTGCGGTGGTGACTAATATTTTCGTCTGAGATCACAAACAATACGTAACGGGAGCGTTAATTATTTAAGCCAAAATTTCAAGCTCTCTTGTTATGGTTAACGAGGTACTCTCGACCAAGCCGAAACCGAATTGTTTTATTTTTTACGAGATGGCGAATTATTTCGTATTTTTTATTATTTTAAAACATATTGAATGAACTAACTGTGTGCCTGTCGAAATAATGAGACGTATCGCGAGTAAATTTATTATCGCCACAAAGAAAATTTATTTGCGTAATACGTGGCTACGAACATAAATTTGTGATCTACAAAAATTTATGATACGATTTTGTCTAAGATTTTACCGTTCAATATTGCGAATGATTGGTTGTTTAATAAGAACGTTTTACGACCGCGAATGTCTTCCATAAACTGCCAACTCTATCGTTTTTCTATCGTATTTTGCATGATTTATATCGTTTTATCTATGCGTTTTGTTGCACAGACAGCTTATGCTTTGTTACTTCCGAATATGTTCTTATGTGCAATCGATTATTGTGTAATTGATTATTTTGAATTATCGTTCAATCAGTTATGAAACGCGTTTTTGAACGTTGCAATTAATTGCAACGCACTCTTGAAGCAAGCTGTTTATTGCAGCGTACATATGCCCTTGTAAAATATACATATTAATTTTCACAAATGTTCCATTTAATATCTGTTATCTCACTCTCGCGAAAACGTGCAGGTTAAAATAGCTGATCATTATTATAATTAGCTGTAATGCAACGGCAACTCGATGCACCAATGCAAAAACGCGATTATGCACTCTGCATTATTCACTGTAACACTCTGCCGAAACGATTATAATCATAATGATAAGAGAAAAAGATGCGAGTATATTAATATTTTGTCTAATTTGGTGAAAAAAACGTATAATAAGCATCGTAAAATTATTGTTTCTGTTATATACATAGTTTATAACAGAACAGTGCTTTACAACAGTACGGTTGTTATCATTCGATTTTGATGTTCCGCAACTCATGAGAAATTCTCCATTTCGCTCAAATCTCTGCGACAGTCTAATTACACTTCTGCCGGGAATGCCCGTGGTTACGTTGGATAATTATATATGAACACGTAAAGCCTACAGAGAACTCCTTCTCGTTTATCGACATCACTGTGTCGATCATATCGCACCGCACGCCACTATCGGCCATCGAAAATTCGTGCAACGCCCCATATAATCCGATTTACGTCGGTCGATGCTCCCGCGATTCCGACTAATTATTGTCTGCGTTAATTAAAACGTGTCGCGTACACGGATATTAGGATCCATTAATGTAATGCGCCGTTTGTTTCGAATGAGCGGAACGCGGCCATCCGGCGCGCAGGATGTTGTTATTAATTTTAATTAACGATCTAATTAAAATGATTCCTTTGTGGGAGAGAAATCCTTTCTTGGGAAACGAGCGTTATCGCACTCTTGGGTATCTACTACTTTAATATCTAAACGAGACATTTAAAGCCGTGTCCACACTTTAAGCAACAGAACATTATCATTGCAATGCCGTCGTGTAATGCCTGTATCAGACTATTGAGATTGATATTAAAAGTGAAATTAATCAATCAGAAGAAAGAAAATCAGTATCAAGTTTAGTAAACTTTGCTTTGATGGATCAAATTCAATCTTAATCTTAATCTCAATATCTAGTCTGATGCAGGCTTAACTTTTCAGGGATAGGAGTTGCAATTTGCAACATTCATTTTAAAATTAAATTTGAGATAAATTCGGGGTTTATGTAAATTAATTATACTTAAGAACTGAAGATGGAAATGTGTGTAACGTTGAACACTGAAATATAATACTTTATCCACCATCGTACTAAAAAATATTTTAGTGCTTCCTCGAACTTTATGAAATTTGACAATAAAAAAAATTCAGCACTTTGTGCTGATCATCTTACCACCCCTGAGCACGAAATTCTAGCCTTGTCATTTGTTATATACATAAACTATCATAGCCTTAGCATTCTTGTGTTATACTTTGTTTTAAAATATTATAAAGAATCTTTATTTATAAAATATTTATTATTATCGTGTATATATATATATATATATATATATATATATATATATAAGTCCAATATATAGATTATTATATATAGATTTTTCACTTATACATGTTATTTTTCAGCAAAAGTAATAATTGTTTTTTAAATGATAAATGCCATCCTTAGAAAGTTAACACCCATCGTTTATATCGATTACACCGCGCAACATCGTGTGCAATACCATATGGATCTCTACGTAACATCGCACCAAACGTTTAAGCATAATGAATGCTCGCACCGAAGTTATGTTGCGCTTAAATGTTCGCCGAACACTCGTGTTTATGCGATGGCGTTGTAGTTATAATGTTTTATTGCAAGCGTGAACATGGCTTAAGGAACATTCAGAATAGAAAACGACTTGCGAGCATGCGACCACTTCGGGTTTTAGTACAAAGTACGAAGTACGTGTCTTAATATTTGCCCAAATTAATGCTCGACATCGCAACGATTCTCTCGATAGTAACCAAATTCACTGGCAGAATGCGTGGAGCGAATCGTTCTAATGAGGGAATTTCTGATCAGCCGGCGAGTATTCCGGTGATTTACTCTTGTTTCGTTAATCGCGCGTTCTATATCGCGATTCGGGGATATCACGGTTCGCCGAACCTCAAACTAAAGCGAGCGGTAGCGTCGGCAGCCAATTCGCCGGATGCAAAGCGAGCGAAAATGCGGCGCGCATTATGCGCGTGCACGTAACGTACTGTGTACGCCAGGCTATGTAGCGTTTTACTTTTTAATTAGGCGCACGCGCTTCAACGGCATTTCCAACCCGCGTTCTCATTTTGCCGTCGTTGCGCCACATTCATGCAAAGTTGCATTTATCTCGTTACGTCGTACTCTTGGCAGCTTTGCCATGACGTCGACAACGACATCATGTAATTTCGGTCATTCGGACTTACGGTGCTCATGAGTTTTTTTTTAACTGCACCTAACAATTAATCCCGGTATTCTTCCGCCGTTTCCGTGTCTCCTATCTATTACGATCGCATAAAAAATTACTCCAAAGTACATACATTTTTTAGTATGCTAAATGATGCCGTACTCTCTAAAATCTTTCGAATGGAATCTAATTCTAAAGGATGATAAAAAGAGCACGCGGTATTCATAGGATTTTATATTTAGTACCGTCTTAAGTACAGTCTCAAGGTGTCATGGACCAATCAGAGGCCGGTATTTATAGTCAATTCTTATATTTGTGGCTGTTTTAAAGTACAGTCTCATGAGTTAATCAGAGGACCGCATTAGCATCTCAAGACATTACTTAAGACATTACTTAAAATAAGAACGGACTATGAATATCAAAGAGTAACAATTGAGCCAGTGTTGGAAAAGAGTGGCTCAATTGTCGATTTTTAAGAATAAGATTTCACTCTTTTTAGAATCAGATGCCACTCCAAAGATTTAAGAGAGTGATGGGACATTAATTTCAGAAGAAATGTAAGGTGAGCATAGAGGTAGTTTTGAAGAGTCCAAATTTGGAGTCAAAATGATCAAATTTTCAATGTTTCTAATATTGTTCAAGCACTTAGACGCAAAAAGAAAGTTAATATTTCTTTGATAATAGCAGGATTTTGACTAGAATTAGTTAGAATAATTTTCTGATTTCTCCAATCCTATTACTTAATTAAAAAAAAAATAAATAAAACTACCTCCAAAAAGTTTTAGTTAAATTTTTCAAAAACGAATGCGTACATACGAAAATATATTTAGGATAAAAATTGTTCGTCTTGAAATTCTGCACAAAAAAACAAATTGTTCTCCTAAACATCTTTTCTTATCTACGAAACTAAGTCCATGCTGAACTTACATTTTTTTCTGAGATTTATATCTCTTCATATCGTTTGGCATACAATTGGATTCAAAATTCAACCACAAAATGAACTAAATTCGAGGCCATTCTTTCAGCGAGCACGTGTCGAGCGTACCTTTAAGAAAATTTCGCGGGTTTTCGCGGTGCGGACGACGGAACTTTTAGTCGTTTGAAAGATTTATCGTTGCTATCGGGATTCATATCGGTGCACACTGGTGCTTTTCTCCTAATGAGATTTTAAATTCTATAATGCATTTCCAAAATGTACGTCGTACCGCCATTCCTTGCGACCGATCCATTTTGACGGACGAGATTTCGCGTAATTCTTTCTCGTAAATAAACGCCATAAATAAACGTCCACATGTTAATTCAATAAACGGATACCGCAGCTTGCTGCGGGCCACAATGCACGCGAAACCGCGCCGTAAGTTTCTATTTTCTACTACCCGCTGTTGTCGCGCGGTCCCATGCCCTCTTATTGTCTGAAAATGTTTGCATTTTTTGTATGATAAATTTATCGTCGCCATACGTCAGGCTCTCTCGTGTACGCGGCGTATGGAGCCGCCAGTCTGACTAGCTCTTCCACTTATCTACTACGCCCTTTATTTCAGTCGCAAGTGACAAATAACGTCGGCATGTATATCTCCGTTTTTAATCGGGTCCGCCATAAATCCGACATAACCGCGATTTTTGCCGCGGATATTATTCAGCGGAGTAAAAACTAGAGCGCGGTCGCGTTCCCGGCAAAAATACAATTTGCTCTCTCGAAGTTAAGGACGCTTGATAGCTAGGGATATTCTCACCGTGTATTTTCGCGTCATTATCACCAAGAATGACATTTATCCATTCTCGTCATTTTTGACTACCTTTTTCAGTGTCAAAGCCCCGCTATTGTTTCACAAATCTCTATTGTTTTATGTCTTTTACGTCCGTGTACAACGCAGTTATTCCATGTATACCGGATACCGCGAAGTTGCATGTAGCCGCGGGCTGACCACTCCGGTCACTTATCTACTGCGTTCTTTGTTCCAGGCAAAATTGGAAACGAAAGCACTGAAAGCGAAGAGGCCGGGATTCACGGACGAGCGGTACAACGAGACCAGTTATTATGTGGAGCATGGTTAGTATGTTCTGTCAGACGTTTCATATTTAATTCAACCACGGTCCAAGAGCCGTCGCGTCTAACGCTTCGGATTAACTGGCGAATTAACGTGTAGTTTCGTCGTGATCTTCGTCTTGAACTTGACAAATTGCGAGAATTGTTCGCGCGTGTCAAATTTACTCTTTCTCCAGCGCGCACTCGAGATATTGAGTTAATGATGCTTGTCGAAAGGTTTTGACCAATGTTTTCCAATCTGGGCGTCCGCGAAAACCACGCAAAAATGCCGCAAGCTGCCAAACCCTTGAACGGGATTGGTTAATTTTCGACAGTGTTGGCTTTACACTCGGGCATGCGGGTTTCCCGGCCGCACGAGTCAAGTAATCGTGGATAATCCGTCGGATAAATACCGACCGGTGCAATAATCCGCGTCGACCTTCTCGTTGATAGCTAGAATGAGATACTCGACTATTCCCTCGGAAGCCCGAAGTGCAGGATAAAGTGAATACTGTGGCGCAACAGATTTTACGAGGTACCGACGTGCTCCTATGGCCACCATCGATTTCCAATCCTTTCATTATTTTCGAATTTCAAGGCAATTTAAATAAATATCAATTGTCTCCTTCAATGTTTTATTTAGGTTGCCTATAAAAATGAATTTCAAGAACGATATTTTTAGGATTTTAATTCCAATTTTCGATATTCTTAAAGATAAAGATTCTTAAAGAGTCTTTAACCGGTATTTATAGTCGATTCTTATATTTCATACTCTCTAAATCTGAATCAGTGGATAGTCACTAATTACCCAGTGGCATACTTTGCACTGATAATCAGTGAAGTTCAACTAAAAAAGGAAGAATATTTGAGCATTATAAAACTAAAATACTGATATTTGTGCACGTTAATTTCAATCTTCCAATACCATTCATTCATTGAATTTAAGCACTAAAACAAGGTTAATTAGATCACATTATAAAGATTAGCTAGGTTAGGGATTTCACATTTAATTCACTGATTACCAATGGCATACTTGGCACTGATATCAGTGATTATCCACTAATTCAGATTTAGAGAGTACTGTTTTTTATCCTCTAGGGACGAATTTTGTATATGTAACATGAGGATTGCTACAAAATTGGAAATCAGAGAAATATCAGGGACATTGAAACGGTTAAAGAAATCAGGGAAAATTCGAGGAATTTTGCAAAATTTTCTGTAAAATTAAAATTCTTGATTTTAAAGAATTTTAATATGAATACACATCACACCTACGCAGTTTAGAAATACTGCACACCAATTAAATGCAAACAGTGTCAGCAGCATTAATAGTAATTTACATTGCTGTGTTAAATTATTTGACGATTTCTAAATCAGGACGGAAATACAAAAAATTTCAAAGTGTTATTGAAAGTATTAGGGAAAATTATGAAATTTTGTCTGAAAATAAGGGAAAAGTTATGGAATTATGGGATGAAGAATTTGTGACAGTCATGTACCTGCTTCTAACGTTTATATTTTAATTAAATTCGAGAAAAATTGTGATCTGTGCAGGTTACATTTGAAGATAGAAATATATGTAGCATTGAACACTGAAATATAATACTTCTAACCGCCAGAAAGGTTATACATTGATACATATTAATAGTGTAAATATTGATGTCATGATGGAAAGAAAGTAAGGTGTGCTCATACCGAGGACGCGTTTTCATATCGTTCTGCGCATTGTATCAGCTGCCTCTGTATTTTTAGTAATATGATAGTTTAATTTGTCGCCACAAAATGACGGTCGCTGAAACAAAATCTTATTTAGCTGTTCAGAAATGTTTATATGAGCAGACTTTTTTTTTCATCGTAATCGATAAATTTTATTTGCGCAATTTTTTCTAACAAAAATAGTGAAGAAAATGTTTCTCTAATGACAAGATGATACCGTGTCTGGATGTGTTAAGTATACTCTCTAAAACTTTTAGAGTGAATTGTCCCTCTGAAGAGTGAAATCTTATAATACTTTTAAAGATTAAAAATTGAATCATTCTTTTTCAAGGTTGGCTTAATTTCACTTTTTAGAGTAAGATTCCACTTCAAAGAATATAGAGAGTAGTCTTAAGACATCGTGAACTAATCACACAGTCATATTCGCATTTTAAGACATTACTTAAACCGGATCTAAAATAAGAACAGAAGTTTTCTGACAGGTCATATATCTAAAATTCAAATCGAATGACATAACATAAAAAAAGCTTATCTTAATCTTTCAATCATGCAAAGGCGCCCCGTCACTCAAAGAAAAATCTCAAAAGACTTGGCATTCGCCGCATACGCTCTGATAAGGAATCTTGTCGAACGATATGGTAGAACATTCTTTTGTGGAACAAAACTGTCGCGTCACATATAAACTCCCACCACACGGGAGATATACGTATGGCAGTTAAGTCAATTGACTTGGCTACAACTGCCTGCCAGCTGCTGCTGGTTTATCGTGTGCCAATACGTCCCGCGATCGGAATATCCGGAACGCCCGGTGGACTCTCCTCAGCCTCTCCATATTCTCGCTTCGCACTGTATCCGCGGTATTATCTGACATCGCCGTAGATCGCCTGGTGGGTAGACACCCGCGAGCTCATTATCGTCGGCAGCCGGCAGCGGTCGTGATAACGCGACGACGTGTCGCGAGCATGGATGTGAGGAAAACGGAATCCGAAAGCGCGCTATGGAAATGGAGAAGCGACTGGGGAATAATTAAATTACCGTTTCAACGAGGGGGAGACTTATCTGTTCATCGTGCGCCCGATAATCAATGTGAGTGGATATCCCCGTAGAGAAACGTCGCTATTTCCATTTCTATCGAGCGCAAACTGCGACGTTTTTCCAGCTTTGGTTTTGTCGCTTTTATAGGCTGTAGAATGTCCTAGAAAAAAAATTTAACCCTTTGGTGCCAGGTTATAGGAACGACGCACTTGATTTAATATGACATACCTAACTCGATTCGATTGATCTTTCACTGTAAGTTTTTAATTAACTTGTATTGTAGATTAAGATAGTTATGTGTTGTTTTGTTTTAATATTCCAATTTAATTTCGAACTCACTATTCAAGTATTCTGCCAAATAAGATAAACGTTTCAGTGACCGGAATATGTATCTATGTTCAGACATTTACACAAAATTTTATATATATATATATATATATATTTGTTTATATTATTATTAATTTCAAGTGGTTTTTAAAATATATTATAATTTAATTTTAATCCTTAAATACAATTAAATTATTGTATTTAAAGATTACAATTAAGTTATAATGTTATCTTTATTGTAATAAAAGATATTGTAATAAAAAAAAGCCTTTGAGATTAATAATAAATTTTGTGTTTGGACATAGGTAGGTGCATGTCCGGTCACTGGGACGTTTATCTCACTAAGATATTTGACGATTTTTATTTCTGGACTTTTATATTTGAAATTTTAATATGATGTTTTTGATTGATACCATGTATCACTAAAGTATCTCAACTTCTACCGATTTCAAATGTGACGCTTAGTATTTAATTGTTAATTCATTGGGTCTATAGTGAAGATGACCCAAAACTAAGGATCGAAACGTCTATTTTAGTCGTATAAATAAAAGATTTCTACACCCTGTTATTTTGTATCGGTTTACATTGGCTTATTATTGAAGTTTATGATCCAATTTGATTGCTTATAACTTTTATAAATATAACGGTACACCACTGAAAAAGATTAAATTTTAATAAATATTTGAATAATTCCTCTAAATAAATATTTACTACATATAAACATATATTTATTTAGGACAAGAACATTAATTTGATTCAACTATCATTTTTTATTGAGTGGATATTTACTTATTGTAAATAAAGATTTACTTAGCACCAAAAAAAAAATAAAATTTAGTAAATTTTTTTAATATACCAAGCAAATGCCATGTATGTATCTTTATTGATAAAAAAGTCATAAACAATGAAAAAAACCCATTGAAAAAATAAAGCCGTGTATGTCGTACTCAAAGTGGCACCGAACAATTTTGTTATGCCGGGCACACAGCAACAGAGAGAATTATTTAACGGAGTGCACTTCATAAATGTAACGAACAAAAGTATTCTTGTAGCGCGATTGTAGCAATCTGTAAAAGATCTTTTAATTATGTCTTTATCGAGTCTACGAATCATTAAAGCGATAGACGATACATCGCAATTTTAGCTCAGCTTTTAATGCTCAGATATTCTTCTGTGCAAAACGCGATACAGCGTTTAATTTTTCCAGTAGTTCAAGTCAACGCTTCTTTCGCCGAGCTATTGGCGCGATTAACGTATATCCAGAAGCGAGGAGAGAAAAGCGTGGCGTTCCCGTCTCCAGCGGGAACGATCGTTCGGCATTGTTGGATCGAGCGATACGTGCCGTATGCCGACGTGAGCTCATTATCACGAGTTAGGTTGCCGTTCGCGATAACGGCCGTTCACGGCATACGGTGAGAGAAAGAGAAAGAAAGAGAGAGATGGAGAATAGATGAGGAGGAAGTCGAGGCGAGAATACGGAATTGCCGTCGGCGGAAGACGCACGAAGAAAGACCGAAAGGGAGAGAGAATGGTTGAAGCGGTGCTCTCGAAGGGTGCCGGGGTGGTTACAGAGACGCGAGAAAAGGGATCGATCGATCGGATATTTAGACGGGCGAATGGCAATATCGACAACCGATATCTGCTCCACATTCGAATAATAGAACCGCGCGAACGACGCACTGGGCATCTCTCCCCCTCTCCCTCTCTCTCTCTCTCTCTCCCTCTTTCCCTTCTACATCTCACTCTTCCCTTCCCATCTGTGCAGCAAAACAAAGACCTATTAATGCCACTTGGAAGACAGACAGCTGCTGCATCACATATGTTCTCCATGTCCCCCGCGCATCCCCATTCCCCGTTACATCTTACCCTTAAATGCACCACGCTCGATCGAACCCGAAGACATCGCGCGGGATGTTTTAGGTATGCTCGCGGGCGCAAACTCGTTG